AAATATGATTTTAATATAGTTTTATTCATTTTCAGAACAAATACTATAGAAGATTAGTGTTGGTGAATTTGTAAAGAATTAAATAATAACTCGTGAAAAGTATTATTAATCTATGATATAAATAGCGATACAATATTCTTGCTTCTACAAATAATTTTCTTGTTTAATTGTTAATTAATGAAATATAATATTTATTATATTAACTATGTTTCTAAAACAACATGAAATAGTAGTGATTTGAATACATGGGATTTAAATTATAATAACATCAAATTGTTATTAATTCAGTTTTTTTATGAATAAATATCGTTATTAAAAAATAAAAAGAATATAAAGATATTAAGTTAAATTGAATTGAACAATTAACCAAGAAGATAAATAAAATAAGCAGGTTGATTGACCTGTTTTCACTGTATTGATTAAAAAGATAAAACAAACTACCAGATAAATATCCATTAATAACAATAAGAGAGAATGAAAATAATATGTAAATACTTCTTTTTAATCTATTTTAAATTCTCTTGAACTCATAAGAGTTAAATTTAATATAAAAACAATGTTAATTCACACAAATAAAATATTATAATGATCTTCTATATATTTTAAAATGTACTATACTGAAAACTCTATCCTATAACAAATAAACAGCCAAAATAATTTATATAAGACTTCTTCTATTTTACTGTTTTAAACAAAAATCAAATAAACAACTTTATCATCAAAATAAACTCTTTTTTTAAAAATATAAAAGAGAATAAGAAAACTCCAAACAACATGAGAGCATGTCTTTGAAAATAATAATAATTAAATGAATAACACTAAAAAAGATGTTTGGTATAACCTTTTTCATTACAACTACGTTAACAACAATTTTTACTTATTACTAAAACAACTAAAAAACTAAATATTTAATCAACAATTGATACAAACTTTAGATGAAACTTACTCTGCTGAGTGAATTGTCATTAATAATTAAATTTATTTTATCACTACCATATTCACCTCTCTGAAAATCATCTACTTTCATCACAACCTTTAAAACAAATAGTACATTTTAATGTTACTTGTTATTTTCATACACATTAATACTTTTTAGTTGAGAACACTTTTAAAAGTGTTTTGTTGTTTAACACATTATACATAAATTCATTTGTATTACACAAAACTTTACTGGAATTAAAAGAAATTTTATACTTAAAAACACTGTCTTTTCTTCTTTCTTCACATACAAATCACCTATTTTTGATAGTACTACTCTTCTTTCTATCTCTTCTTTATTTATCGTGGTAAAGAATGTTTTGATTTATAGTTATTGATGTTAATAACAATTAATCAAAGAAGAAGAATTTTATGATTTAATTTTGGAAATAAAAAAAAATTAAAGAAAAACCTAAAGAACTAATAAAACATAGAATAAAGAATGAGTTCTGATAATGAAGCTGACAATGATAGTTATAGTATGTCAGAGGACTCAAACAATGAGGACCTTGTAATAGATTATTACGACGATTTAGGAGTAGATAATTATATTGAAGAAAAAGAAATTAAAGGAGATGATAGAACAACAACAAGATTTATGACAAAATATGAAAAGGCAAGAGTTCTTGGAACTCGTGCCCTTCAAATTTCAATGAATGCTCCAGTTTTTGTTCCATTAAATGGAATGACAGATGCTCTTGAGATTGCTATGGCTGAATTAAAAGCAGGTAAAATCCCATTTATTATCAGACGTCGTTTACCAAATGGATCATTCGAAGATTGGAAAGTTTCAGAACTTATTGTTGAATAAAAAAAGATAAACAATGTTATAAACCCTTATAATGGATTAACAGTGATTGAGTACTTTTTGAATTTATATTGTCTTTTCTATTT